ACTGTGAAAAATAAATACCCATTACCGCGTATTGATGACTTATTTGATCAGTTACAAGGTGCTCAAGTGTTCTCTAAGATCGACCTCAGATCAGGATACCATCAGTTGAAAGTTAAACCAGAAGACATTGACAAAACTGCTTTTCGAACGAGGTATGAACATTACGAATTTTAGTTATACCTTTCAGAGTTACCAATGCACCTGCTGCATTTATGGACCTCATGAACAGAATCTTTAAACCATACCTTGATGACTTTATTGTAATATTCATTGATGACATACTGATTTACTCCAAAAGTATAGAAGAACATGAACATCATCTGAGACTTGCCCTACAGACCCTAAGAGAATAGAAACTTTATGCTAAACTGTCTAAATGCGAATTTTGGCTTGATCATGTTATGTTTTTGGGGCATGTTGTTAGCAAAGATGGAATTTCTGTTGATCCGCAGAAAATTGAAGCTGTAGTAAACTAGCTTAGACCAACAAATGTGACCGAAGTCCAGAACTTTTTGGGACTAGCCGGATATTACAGAAGATTTGTCAAAGATTTCTCCAAAATTGCCTTACCATTAACTCAACTGACACAGAAGGGATGTCATTTGACTGCGACTGACCAAAGGAATCAGCTTTCCAAGAGTGAAGACTCGACTCGTGACTTACACTAGTTCTTACCTTACTTCAGGCACGGATGGTTTTACCATATTTTAGTGATCTTCTCATAAGGTTTGGGTGTGTTTTAATGCAGAATGGGAGAGTAATTGCCTATGCTTCCCGACAATTGAGACCGATGAAAAGAACTACCCGACCATGATCTGGAACTTGCTGCAGTAGTATTTGCACTGAAAATCTGGCGTCACTATGTATGGGGCGACTTGTGAAATATATACCGACCATAAGAGTCTGAAATATTTCTTCACACAGAAAGAACTGAACATGAGACAGCGGAGATGGCTAGAACTGATTAAAGACTATGACCTACAGATTTTGTACCATCCGGGAAAAGCCAACACCGTTGCCGATGCACTGAGCCAGAAATCGACTGGAAATTTAGCTTGTTTGCTTACCGGGCAGAAAGAATTACTTTGTGACCTTGAAAAATATGAGATTGAAATTGTTTTACGAGAACAAGGTGGAACAATAGTTGCTATTTTAGCTCAACCAGCACTGATTGAAGAGATTAAAGAAAAACAGCAACTGGATGACTTCTTGAAAAAGATCATCGAAAAAAGGGAATCCAAACCAAGACCGGGTTTCAAATTCGAAAGTAATATACTGAAATTTCAAGAAATTTCAAATTCGAAAGACTGTGCGTACCAAATGATTCTGAATTGAAAAGAAGAGTTCTGCAAAAGGGCCACAATTCAAAATTTTCTATCCATCCAGGGAATACGAAAATGTATCAAGATCTGAAACTGAATTTCTGGTGGCCAGGAATGAAGAAAGAAATTGCTGACTTTGTATCGAAATGTCTTCATTGCCAACAAGTCAAAGCCGAATATCAACGACCCGCAGGCTTATTGCAGCCCTTACCGATACCGGAGTGAAAATAGGAGCATATCACCATGGATTTCATTGTGGGATTGCCTCGCTCCAGTAAAGGTATGGACTCAATTTGGGTTATCATTGATAGACTGACTAAATCTGCTCACTTCTTACCTGTTAAGACAATTTATAATGCGAACAAATTGAATATACTCTATATTGATGAAATTGTTAGACTGCATGGAGTGCCTGTGTCCATTGTTTCTGACAGGAATTCAAAGTTTACATCGAGATTTTGGCAAAGCTTACAGACTGCATTGGGTACTGAATTGAGACTGAGTAGTGCCTATCATCCTCAAACAGATGGTCAATCAGAAAGGACCATCCAGACTCTGGAGGATTTATTGAGAATGTGTGTCCTTGATTTTCAGGGAAATTGAGAAAGCCATTTGCCCTTACCTGAATTCGCCTACAACAACAGCTATCATTCGAGTATTGGTATGGCGCCTTTCGAGGCACTGTATGGTAGAAAATGTAGATCTCCGATTTGCTGGGCAGAAGTTGGAGATGGGCCTTTGCTTGGGCCCGAGATTGTATACGAAACGACTGAGAAAGTGAAACTGATACGACAGAGACTGAAAACCGCGCAGAGTAGACAGAAAAGTTATGCTGATGTCAGAAGACGGGATAGAGAATATGAAATGGGTGATCACGTGTTTATGAAAGTGACACCGATGAAAGGCCAGACTCGTTTTGGAGTCAAAGGCAAGTTAGCGCCGAGATACGTCGGACCATATGAAATTATTGAGAAAATCAATCCGGTGGCGTATCAAGTCGCGCTTCCTCCGGAAATGGAGCATATGCACAACGTCTTCCACATTTCTATGTTGAGGGACTACCTCCGGGATCCTTTCCATGTGATAGAGCCTACTCGTGTAGTGCTGAATGATAACTACACTTACGAGGAGCGGGCTATTCAGATTGTAAACAGACAGATCAAGAAATTGAGAAACAAAGAGATCCCGTTAATGAAAGTTGACTGGCAAAACCATGGTGGCGTGTATGCCACTTTGGGAGAGGGAAGATGACATGGCTAAAAGATATCCTGAACTGTTTCCACTGAACCCTATTTTCTTCCAGAATGAAGGTAATTCGAGTTTAGAGGACTAAACTCTTTTTAAGGAGGGGAGACTGTAACAACCCTCATCACTATTTACCGAATAACCACTGATTACCGTTAAACTGAAACTGATTATGATTGATAATTGAACTGATTGAAATACTGAACTGACTGACGGAAATATGGAATTGATTTGACTAAGTATATCTGTTTAACTGTATGTCTATCTGTTGACTGTTTAATTATCTGTTCAGTTTTTATGTTTAAACTGCAAATTGAAGGCCTTATCGGCGGCCAAACCGGAAACCGATTAGTGTTTTATGATCATCGTAATTAATGTAATTTTATGGTCTATTTATCTGAAAACTGATTAGGTACGATTAAATTAGGTTAATTATTGAGAAATTACATAGTTTGACTTAGCTACAACCTTGCCATTTGAGTGGGCCACTACACCAAACCTTGTCTAAGGCTTAGTCTTGCATTACAAACATTTGCTCAGCCATTACTCTTGAGTGTATAGCCGACTAGAGAGGGAGAATAGGGAGTTAGAGTGAATTCATCTTGAATTGCTTGGAATCTTTAAGAAATTGTGAGAGATTTGCCTTCTTGAGCCTCCATACCTCTAATTCAAGACTTAGGTAAGGAATTTCAACCTCTCCTTGTTGTATTTAAGCTTGTTCATGCGTGGTTCTTGAGCCTCTAGTGATTGAAGTTAAGTTTTGGTCTCATGATATTGAATTGGAGCCTAGTTCTTGCATGCATGCCTTTACTTTGAAGTTTGAAGTTTGAAGTTGTCCTTCATGAAATTGTCACATGCATGCTCATGGTTATGTTAAGTCCATGATTTCATGTTGTTTTAAAAAGAATTGGCTCACTAGAGCATCAAATTGAAGCTTTGAAATGGTTTAAATCCATGCATGTCATGTTTCTTGCATGTTCATGAAAATTGGTTTCAAATTGAGTTTGTTTGAAACACCCTTGGGCTTTGATTTTACAAATTGAGCTTTGAATCATGTTAAAGTATGAGTTTTGATGAGTTTTCTGAAAAATTGGTCCAAGAGGATCGAAATTTATGGTTTAAAACTTGGTTTTGAGTTTGAGGTTCAAATCTGAAATTTCTAGAATTTGGACTCACGCTCGAGCGGGGTGACTGGCGCTCGAGCGTGGAAATCGTGCTCCCAGCATTCTTGTTCTGTTTTGAAGTCCGCTCGAGTGGAATAATTGGCGCTCGAGCAGGACATTGTGTCTCATGCTCGAGCGGGTGTCTAGCGCCCAATCGAGCGTGATTTTCACCCATCCAGCACTTTTGACTGTTTTGCAGAACGCTCGAGCAGGTAAGTCTACGCTCAAGCGGAAACCTTTGTCTGCATGGCCGCTCGAGCGGAGTAACCTATGCTCAAGCGTGACCCCTATTTTCTGAAACTTTTGAAAATACTTTTAAAGTGCATCTTTGCATCCTCATCTTATTCTAGGCATTCTTAGGCCTAGTTTAAAACATCTTAATGAGGATATAGATGTAGAACCACACCGAGGCAATTAGGGATTAAGTTATTATCTTTCCCAACTGTGTAACTTAGTGTGTGTTCAATCTGTAACTGTGTAGGGTTGGTGACTGGGGACGCGCTCTAGCTTTACTGTAGCCTAGTACATGACATTTATCCCAATATGGGTGTTCCAGGACCATAACTGAGACCCTTTGAGCTTCTTAGGAGCATACAAAATGGAATAGTTAAATTATGTGTTAAAAGTATGTTTTAATTATGTGTTAAAAGTATGTTTTAATTTATATATATATATATTATAAAACTAAGATTTAATTTCGCGTTTTAAGGGCATTATAATTTTAAAAATGAATAGGTGATTTAATATTGTAGCCAAGGTGTGTATTAAATGTATATATAATTTTAAAATTGGAAAAATGAGTTCTCTCTATCTACTATCTCTCTCTTTAGCAACTGCAGAAGTTGCCCTAAAAGACAGTGGATGGCTAACCTTACAACCCCAACCCCAAAAAACAAAAAACAAAAAACAAAAATGTATAATTAATTGCCATAACCATGTAATGATTGACACTGATAACAGATTTAATTGGACCTATGAGTTAGTAAAAAAATGGTACTCCATTCTGCTTTAACCGGTGTAAATATGAAAATTTTTATGGTGCACATTGCTTAGAAGAGTGTATGGTATCACTCCTAACAGATAATTGTTTGGTAGTTTTGATGCACATTGACATATTGTTTCTAAACCAAAAATAAGTATGAGTAAACTAACTTCTTTTTTAATAATCAGAAACCGTGTCCTAGATAGAGTCCAATGAGTAAACCAACTTAACTCATCTTGGTTGGATGCATAAGAGATAAGATCATTTCCATCCATTACACTAGCAGCATTGAAACAGACAATGCATTCAAAACTGTTATATTTTGTTTGGATCCTGAATTTGCACAAGAACAAAGAAAGGGAAAACGTAGAAAAAGAAAATGAGGAAAAACAAGTAAAATTATCCTCAGTTTTGGCCATCTTTTGTTTGACCACTAGATGAACATATGTCAGTCCACATGTTTTTCGATTTACAGTGCATTACAGTTTTTGTACACCTTTTATTCAATTGATTTTTCACAAAATAAATACAACAATGTTATCTTCCAAAGTAGCTGTACAAGTCGGAGAGGAGAATGAAGCTCAAAGGTTACATACTACAGAGCTCCCGGAAACATTTTGAGATGAAATCACAGCCACAGGAACTGGACGGACATTTGAGGTTCAAAAGTATGGGGCCTGACAAATACCGTCTCAGTCACCTAACAGGCACAGTGGCTGTCGCATGCTAAGCTCTGCTTTGAGTTCTGGGAATTTCTCCAAATCATGAGATGAACCTAGAATTCTCTGCATGTATAAGAAAACTAACATTCAATATGTCATTAACAGAGCACATCATTTATTGGGTTATTTTTTCCTAAGTAAAAAGGAGTTAATAAACCAAACAAGAATAATATGTTTCATTACAACACGAAATTTTGTTTGCGAAGAGTTGAGGCAAAGGGAACCAAAACCCATATGGATGTCTGCAATGACCCGGACATGCATCTAATTAATTAGTCATCTAATTGCATTGTTATGTGCTATTTGATTATGTGTTTGTTATGAAATTGTATGTCTAAGGGTGTGAATTAGAAGGATTTGAATTTATATCTATTGATTGTAGAAAAACTTATTGAAATTACAACTTTAAACTGAAAATTGAAGGTCTTAGAGGCGCCATAAACCAAAACCGAGTACATAGTTATAATTAACATGATTTTTAGGACTTACTGAGAAGTTTTGTAAAAATTCAATTCGTATTGAATTAATTGGATTTAATTAAATATTGTATATATATATGAGCCTTGGTTGAGTCTAAGACTCAACAAACAAAAATCTAGAGAGAAAGAGAGAGAAGGAACAAGAGAGTGCTAGAGAACTCAAGAGGAAGAAAGGAAAAAAAGGGGATTTGAGCCAAATCTTCACCAATTCAACCATCTAAGGTAAGAATTCCTCAACTTCTTGCATTGAAGATGTTATACTCATAAATTTATGGAATCTAAGGCTAATCAAGAAGTAAATTGTGGAAGAAAAGATAGGAATGGACAAGATAAGAGAAGACTTGTAGCAATTAGCTCTCATATCAACATACATGGCATGATTTCACGAATTTCTTGTTCATCCCTACAATTCTTGCATGGTTCTTTAACTTTGGGGGAAACCCCCATGGATTTTGAGGCTTGAACTCATATATGCATCTTTTGAGGGTTCTGCACTCTAAGTTCAAGATTTGAGTTTTGTTTTAAAGTAATGGTTTGAGTTTGAAGTTAAACATGCGTAATTCAACATGTTTTTAAGAGTTTTAGGCTTTAATTTGCACGAAAATGAAGTTGAGAGTGCAAAAGTTGAGCTTCAAAATATGAAGCACATATTCAGATTTCACTCTACCCAGACCACACGTGCGGCCTGAGTCCCGCACATGCGGCTAGACCTCCCCTGCTCCGAGCTACTTTCTACAAAAATTGCACGTGCGATTTTCAAAGCAGATTTTTGGTTTTGTTTTCTCTCCATTTTTCTAAGGTTCGGGCCTTCATTTGCATGGTTTCCAAGTGTATTTCAAAGTCATGTGCATATCAGGAGCACGAAAGAAATTAAAGAATGAATAGAAACAACTGAATCAGCAAGTAACGAGTAAACCGACGGAATGAATTGCATGTGCTTTAAGATGTTGTGCTATGAATGTTTGTGTTTGTAGGTCAAGGTTCGTAGACCGATCAACCGGTTTTGGAAGCACTGTGAGTAACATTACTGTAAAGATATGTTCATATGAAATATATTTGAAATGCTATTTGATATGTTATGTTTTATGAAACATTATTTTGCTTAAGTGAACGAATATCTGATTTTGAATCTACTGTGGCATCCAAAGAATGGTCCCAAGTCATAAGGGACAGCATGTTAATGCGGGTTCATGACATATATGTGATTACGAGATATCGTTAGCCACTTGACAAAGTGGTGATATGTTTAATCAGTATCCGGAGCCGATTACTCTAGTCGGAAGACGATATGATGTGTTCCATTGGATGTACCATTATTATGTTCAGATATGAGATTGGTTTGTTATGATCTGTTTTATGTATATGACATGTATGGAATTCGTTCACTAACCCTTTTACTTTAATGTTATTCATTAGGTTTTAACTCACTATGTGTATATATATATGTATAGGTGAGCGTCATGAACAACAAGCCCAGAAGGAATCCTTTAGCCGAGCCACCGTTTAAAGTTTTGGAGCTTTGTTTTGGTGCCTCCGAGTTGAGGTTAGGTCTAGAAGACCGTTGTCAAGTTTTTTATCATGATGTTGATATTTTGATATATGTGTATTTGTAGATGAATGTTTTTGTACAAGATGTGATGTATATAACACAGTGTGGGTAAATTAACGTTATGTGCATGTGTTATTTCATATAGAATCACAGCTCATTGGACTACTTGTTATATATATTTTATATTAAGTTTGAGCTAGCTCCGATTATTTTTATTTGTACAGGAAGGCCTTTAGTAATCTCGGATTACTGACCAGTTATGACGCTAAACCTATAGGAGTGGGTTTGGGTCGTGACAATGAGACTAACCAATAGAGTTGAACAGGTTACCATAAATAAATGTGAGCAGACTTGGTTACCATATATTACTATGAATGCTTTTTTTTTTTTTAACAAGTGAAATTTGCAGTCAATAGTATTAGAACATTTGCATAAAAGGTTTCACATGAATAAATGATCTACATGCATATTTGTGATTGTGTATAGACCTAGTTATATATATGCCCGCCAGGTGGATGACCACAGAAAGAAATAACCATATGCGTGGGTCAATATTGCCAAACATATAACATCAAAAAAAGTATATGCAAACAGATAACGATGTACATATATTTTACTTGAAATTAGAAGATTCATAAATATGGATCAACTAAAAACATCACTAGATTTCTAAAGAAGAAGAAGTAAAGAGGAATCATATTTTACCAATGCAGCATGATGTGCTTCTTGTAGAATATTTCCATCTATCTCTAATCTGGCAATAGGAAACTCTGGAAGGTGTCCCGACTGCTTCTTACCGAGCAAGTCACCAGGTCCACGTAGAAGAAGATCCATGTTTGCTAAATAAAAACCATCAGATGATTTCTCCAGCACCTTCAACCGGTTTATGCTACTGGCCATGGATGCTAACAAAACACACTTAGACTTCCTTACTCCGCGCCCAACTCGTCCTCTAAGTTGGTGTAACTGAGCTATTCCGAATCTCTCAGCATTCATAACAACCATCATGGATGCATCCGGAACATCAACGCCAATCTCAATTACTTGAGTAGAGAGCAGTACACATATTTCTCCTGATCTAAATCGTCTTAATGCATCATCTTTCTCATCGCTCCTCATTTTTCCATGTAGTAACCCACAGCTGTAAGCTTCAAACCTCTTAGATATAGTTTCAAGATCAGCTGAAGCAGCACGAAGCTGAGGCAGTTGCTCAGATTGCTCAATGACTGGATACACTAGATATATTTTTCCTCCTGCTTCCAGCTCATCTGTCATCATCTATTAAAAACAAAAAACAAAACAAGTCGTACAAGATAAGATTTCAAATTTAGAAGAAAAGAAAAAAAGATTGGTTCACTACAATTAACATTTGAAAATTTTAGGTAGTGTTTGGTAGAGTTTTAGAATTATGATTTGAGAATAAAATTGTATTTTGAGTTTGTGAGTTTTGAAATTATGATGTGTGGAAAATTTGTTTGGCTATAAGTTTTGAAAAGAGTTTTAAAAAGAGTTTTAAATTGAAAAAAAAAAACCGAACACTGTTCCGGTCAACCGGTGGGACGACCGGTTAGCCCAAATTTTCCTGCCTCGGAAAGAGTTTCAAAAGTTAGTGTAGAATTAATTTTTAAAAGCTGTAAACAAACAGCACGTTCAAAATAAAGAATAGAACTAAAGTTTGAGAGCTCCACCAAATGGAGCCTTAGATTCTCTTCTCTTCAATGGATATGATCCTTAAAAGTTTGCAATATTGACACAAGCAGATAACTTGAGATACAACTTAATTTTTAGAGATGATACAACAATCAATAATACATGAACACACCCAATTCAAAAGGCTTCCATGTTGAGCATGCTGCTATGATCAACAATGCCTTTCATCTCACATGGGAAGAATAATGAATCATGCAATATGGTTCGTGGCAATTGCTAGAATTTTATCATATACTACAATCTTCTGGAGCATTGGCACCCAAGGACAAAATTATAACGGTTGTGCCAGAGTGATTTGCCTTTTTTCCTTTTCCTTTTTTTTTTCCCTCCAAGATTTGACTTGACCTAGAGCAATGGCAAATGCTATCCACTTCCTGCATTGTGGCACAGGTTCGAGTAATGCAAATCAGCATCTCCACAAACAAAAAGTGGGGGAAAGGTTTTCTATCTATTACCTCTCCCAAACCCTACCGTAAGTGGCAGTCTTGTGCACTGGGTATGACCTTCGTAACACTTGCCATGACTGTCCTCAAAAGATGCACATGCACGCGCATGCATTTTTACCTGAACCTATGCTCCATAAAAACATTGACAAAAACACATACCTAGGCCTGGGTGAATAGATTTTTACAAATCATCATGACTAAAAAGCTAGGTTGATGTCATTCATCCACTAAATTTGTGATCTTTTAAAATGTGCTTAACACCCCAATTCTGGCAACCATGAGTTTGTAAAACATTTGTATATTGAAGTGATGGGAATCCACTAGAAATCTAAAAACCCATGTAGCCAGCTTTTCAGTGAATAGAAAATTGAACCGAGGACTTTCGGACACGAAATTTATCATTATCACACTGGCATTTCTGTCCTGTGATAATATAACAAACATATTCAGAAGCAGAGAACTATCCTAGGCACCATCTTAATTTGAAAGTGAATCCAAATAGAGTGAGAAGGGTGAATAGCTGAGGTATTGATTGCGATCAACAATATGGCTTTAATCTGCAGAGATACGTGTAATTAATCAGGACATGCATGTTGCTCCTTTTTTTCATTTTAGTTATTTGTTCTTTTATTATTCCTTTTCCTTTTCCAGTGAAAAGAAACTGCTCTGGATAAATAAGTTAAGGGTTCAACACTAGAAAACATCTGGAAAAAGCAAATACCCTCAGTTACTCAGCATCAGGACAGAGCAAATTTACAGTATAGGGGGGAGTTGGGGAAAAGACTCCTAGGCTAAAGCATATGCACACCTATTATCTTCTTCAACTACACCAAGAAAGCAAAATTCCAGTTTTTAAGTGCCATAGTGACCAGGCTTTTGTTTAAACTAGGTCACTTAGAAGTTAAACCAAATGCATTAAAATGGTGATTTTCATTGTATGGTAACAATTGGGTGTGAAAGACATTCTCACAATTTGGACAGTTTTAAACATATATTAGTCATGTGGAATTTGGCAATCATATTTACTATGCAAAGACTAAGAACTAGACCTCATTCAAGTGATTTCTTTTGAAGAGTTGCAGTTCATAAAATTCAGAGAAGTGAACTTTGAATGACTTCCAGTCTATATCATTTGGTTGATTGGGATGTTTATTCTCCTTTAGAAGCACAAGATCCAAGTATGACAAAAACTTAGATTATTGGACAAGTGTCCCTGGGTAAGCGGTTATGAAGATATGCTATATAAAGGAAATGTTTGTGGAAGATCATGATGATGGGCCAAAAAGGTGGAGAATTTCATCTAGTAAGGCAAATCTTATTACCTAGGACCATTAAAAATGCGAGTAGAATAGATAATTCATAAGAATATAAAATCTATATGAGGGACCATAACGGCTGTAAAGGTGCAAAAGTATTGGTCCATACAGAACGTTATGGTAATGTAACGGCCGTAATGCCTGATATGGCTGCAAATGTTTTCTTGTATCAGATAAATAGTGTTGTGGTTGTAATGGAGCACCAAAATTTTGTTACATAATGTAAAGGCCGTTACTTAAAACCATTTTGTACATGCTAGAGATCCATGCACCAACTTCAGACGGAGTGTTAAGAAATAATAATAATAATAATAAATAAAGGAGAGCATTCTCAGTAAGGGTTATACTTTCCTCTTCTTCCATGTTAAGCTTTATAACCTATTTTATCTACTCTCTTTCTCTTTCTCTAATCTTCATATCAGTTATTTCTACAGAGGTGTCAAGAACTTGGCAAGCAGTTGAGTCAGAAATAGGTGTACGCAGGCCTGAACACCACTTCATTCCTTCTCCTGTGGAGTGTTTAGAAGAAGTTTAACTGGTATCTTGAAGATGTCGACATGCCACTCTAAAGATTGAAGTAAGATATGCTCAGAACTCTTTTTCAAAAAGAAACAAAGCACTATAAAGGAAAGAAGTACATAAGGACTAATAAGGATGAATAATCCACCAAAAAAAGGAAACAATATTTTAAATCACAAAAAGCGCACAAATCTCTAGAGATCAAAAACAAAGGAATCTCTTTGACTAGAGGGGAAGCCGAAGCCCAAAAGGAAGACGAAAAATAATAATACATGACAACATTCTTTATACAAGATAAAAGAGCACACTCACTTGGTAGACCTTCTCAAAGCCACTGTCATTTCCTTCAATGATGCAAGTTTCAACTGGTAGTCGCCCAGGTGGTAAATCAGTTATCTGTCATTTTAAGAAACAAAGAAAATCTATCACCAGGTAGTAACCACTGCATCATCAAGTATCATATAAGAGACTTAATTCAATTAGAATAGCACAAGATTTCAGTCAAATCTGAGATGCATAGAAATTATTACTCTCAAATCCTAGATCTGTATGCTTTAACATGCAACTAAACCTTGCCATAGACATCCTTCTCTAGACTTAATCATATAAAAATTAGAAGAAAAAAATGAGGGGGAGAGACAGAGAGAGAGTATCCAAAGCTCATGGAGTCCAATAAAAAAAAAATTGACAAATGATAGAAATGGAAAACTAAAAAATGTCCTTTTCATCAATAATCCCAAAACCCTCTTTATGCTGTACACAAAGAAAAAGGTCAGAGAAAGTCCAGAACGAAACAGTAAGCCCATTTCGATGTAATGCAGGATCCAACTTTGTTTCATTAGTTCAACATTTATTTCCTAGCATACCAAAATTTGCTTCTTTTTTTTTTCCCACATTTCTCAAAATCATTCTGTAATTTCATGATCATTTGTTCAAACATGACAAGGAACTGAATAGTATGCTACTAAATATAAAAACAAAAGATAGCATACTTAACATACTTGTGTCAGGGACATGTCCCCATACAAAGCCAGAGCAAGTGTCCTTGGGATTGGAGTGGCTGACATAGCAAGAACATGAGGGGCCATATAGACATCACCTTTCAAGGAGCCATTTGATGAACTAGTCACAGCCATTCTTGAACTTATTGAGGTATAATATAACTGCAGGATAAGAAGCTACATTGATCAGGTCATGTTACAAAAAGAATAAATGCACAAAGGAAATCAAAGTCCCCAGGATCAGAGTATTATTTTGGGAAATTTGGCTATAAACCCCCTTTACCTTCCTTTCATTGTTAAAAGGACTAAGAAAAAAATTATACTTTCTAAACTCCCTCATAATTATAAAATCCTATATAAAGGACAAAATTTATTATTTAAATATTTTATCAGACTATTATACCCTTGGCTACACTTCTCAGATCTACACCATTTTGATGGGGAGAAGTTCAAATCTGCAGATTCGGCGGCGCGAGAGAGAGAGAGAGACGTACGGAGAACATGGAAGGAGAAGCGCGGCCCAAGGGATCGAAGAGATTGCGGGAAAAGATTGGGAGGAGGAGCACCAAGAGGCCGGCGAATGCAACTCTTTGAGTCTGGTTGCTATGGCTGTCTACCTTCATATCTTACCCTAGATATGTGTATATGTATATATATATACGCAGATATCAGAAGAAGAAGTGGAGCATCACTAAAAGTTGAGGAATTTTTTGCGCTGTGGAGTGTCTGCCTTCACGTGTTCACAGAAGAAGAACAACTGGCTGTCTGAACATGTGTTACTGTGGAGTGTTTTGCTTTGTTCGTGAGAGGTTTGGAGGATGTTGAACACGTGTTCAATTCTAGGAATTTTTTGTTTGTAAACTCTAAAAGTTGAGCATCACTAATCCAGAATATTGAATTTTAATTCTATTAAATATTGTCTAGGTTTTATCACCATCATGGTTACATTCCTCATTCAAGATTTTGAGAATATATGTATATATATATATATATATGATCACTGGTGATGCCTAAATAAACATTTCTTAATCCTGGACGAGGGAGAAGGAAATAGTGGGGGTAATTGGATGGCAGTTTCTGTTCTCTACCAATACACTGACAGTAGTCTGTAGCATTCTAAAAGTGGATCACGGCTACGATGCACTGATCTATGGTTCACATAAGGACAAACATAAATCAACATTTTTGCAGGGATTTAATACAGGAAGTAACAACAAAAATATTAAGGCGGTGAGAAGAATGCAAAAGGACCAAATTTTAATGAAAATGATAAGAAGATAGATTGTGTTAAGAATGGTATAACCATAACAAACACCAACAGCAAAGTGATCTAACAAGTTACGCAATGGCATTCTAATCGAGTTTGTTTCGATATTTCAAAAGCACCAGAAATATCATCTATGCTTTCCATTCAAATAATTTGATTCGTAATTATTCTCTAGTGCATCTTCAGCATTAACTAAGGTTACACTGTAAATTTCCATATTTTGCACCATTTTCAAAAGTTCACTCACAATTTTTTTTGCTTAACATCGTATCAAGCTCTACACTAATATCTATGCATTCATTGAAACTAAACATTTTTTCATTTTATCTCCCTTCTGGATCAAAGATTGAGTAGAATCCCACAATTAGAGACTGATTAAAGCACTGATTTCTTGCCTTTATGCTTGCATAAATAAATAACAGATTATATCAGGAATGTTCTCCCAAGAGTTCTGAACTGGAAAGGTAATTGGACTTGAAGATCTAATAATGGTCTGCCTATATATATGGCCAGTGGATATGAAGAAACAAGGTCTCTGGGTTACTAGATAAGGATGCAGTTCCACAGGTGGTTAAAGTTGTCTGCTTACCTCCATGTTACAGTGGTTTTTCTTTTTCGTACTCTTTGACTTTTTCATTTTTCTATCTTCAGTTTGTTGCTCCAAAGATACTAGCAAAGGAAAATGTTTGAGACACAAAAAAAGCTCCCACAATTTGACCCACAATGATGTAGTATGATAGGTGTCAACTTTTGATTTGTTACACACCCAATGATATAATGCCTAACTACCTTGCTACATCATTGTGGGTCTAAAATAGTGGGTCTCTAACATTCTCATTAGCAAAATAGTGACTTTTTCTTTCATAATTTTAGCAGAGATACAATCTCAGGGCAGTGAAAACAAAACCACCTTGCTGTTAAACCTTCCTCTCTGGATCACACCAAAACGATGTTGCTCGTCTACCACTGCAATGCGTAAAGCTGAGAATTCCACCTTTTCTGCTATTAGACTGTGGGTACCAATGACCAATGAGATATCTCCACTCTGGAGACCCTGCCAACCAATAATAGAAAAGATAAAAATCTTTAAAATGTCATAATCTACTATTCATAACTGCCACATTACAATACATGCCTCACGAACGAGCCGTGATTGTTTCGATGGGGTTGAGCCCGTTAGCAAAGCGACAGAAGGTTTACAATCAACATGCTCCATATTCTCTAGCAAATTAAGAAAGTGCTCATAGTGCTGGACAGCAAGCAACTCAGTTGGAACCATGAAAGCTGCCTACAAATAAACAAAGTAATCTAACAATCAATTTAATTCTGTAAGATTACGTATGGAGCAAATGTTGAGACTAAACACCATGCTGAGAAATCCATTATCAAACAAACAAATTAGACTCTGAAATCTCATAATTGAAGTCAATCACTACTATCCAATATCAATAATGAAAAGTTTACATGGCCTACCTGATAACCTGCACCAATAACCTCCATACATGCCAAAAAAGCTACCACAGTCTTCCCACAACCAACATCTCCCTGAGAAGAAAAAAATGATTGAGATAATCAAAACAAAGAGATTCCCTTAAAAGAAGATGTCACTGAAGGCTAAAAGGAAGACAAATAATAAATTGTTTTTGGGTAAGTGACAAAATAAATCTTACATCTCTTTCCAACCAAATCCCCCCTATGTCTTATCCATCAAATAAAGAATATATGATATGGTAGAGACATATAAGGTCGAAGTAGTTGCAAGGATTTTACCCAAACCGACGGTGTAACAATGTTGTATAGTTGACTTCTATCTATGAATGAGTTCGTGTGCAAGTGTGTGTGGGGTAGGGTGACAAATGGGTGGGTGTGGGTGCCTAGTTATGTGAATGTGTCTATGCTAAATGGGGTAAAGAAATTAGGATGAATATAAGTTCACTGTCTTAGATTACCAATTCTCTCAAAATTTTAAGTTGTTAGGAAATGTCCAATATATATCAAGCTATCTAACACCCTCCCTCTCTCACATGGACAAGCAAGGAGGATATATAATCTCAACTAAGGAGCACAAACACACAAAACACAGTGCACAATAAACAACACAGCTAGGGAACAAATACATACTAGGTGACTGCAACCCAAAATAAAAGTAAAAATTCATTGACAAAATCCAAAAATAGCAACTTAAAAGTCTCACAACATCTATTGAAGTTCAAATTTTAATTTGAAAACAACAACAATTGTTTAGATATGAGATACAAATTAAAGAACAACAGTATGTTAAGGGAAAAAAATATAAATCCAATACCTGCAAAAGTCGATTCATGGGAACTGGCCGCTTGAGATCCCAAATAATCTCTGAAACAGCAGTTAACTGACTTGAAGTAAGAGAGTAAGGAAGAGCCTTCAAAAAATTCTTTGTAAGACTAGACCATTCCTCCATAAATACAGAATTCAATACAGGCTTCCTATACTTATCCAACAATACATCTTTCTCTATCTGTGTACCAAGACCTTCAAGCATTTGAAACAAACGGCCCAACTGACAAAAGAGGATAACAGCGATAGTCAGGGGTTGCATGCAATCAATGCACAAAAAAGGCAAGATGGACGAGCACCAGCATCAACAAATTGACGACGAGACATTTTTTTGATAAATAATAAATTTTATAGAGAAAGCATAAAGATGATGCAACTAAAACAAAACAACCAATAGAAGGAAACAAAACTCGCCTAACCAATTACATCATCCAAAAAATCTAAGAAAGAAAAAAGATCCGGATCAACTTTACACTCCAACCCCAAACCTAAACATGCCCCACCATACTTTACCCATCCTCACCCCAAATAGGTTGTATGACAAACAAATGCAATATCATAACAGATTTGAGAGGAGGAGGATGTTCAAAACTAACTTATATGTGGTATCAAATATAGAGATGGCCATGGGATAAAAAAACGGGGAAATGAAAAATCTAATCTCAACTTCTATTTCAACATTGGGCCTAGGAGGGGTGATCTTTATCTTCTCTGATCCATTTTGCGCTACATACACACACACACACACACACACACACATATATATATATATATGTCATACCCGGTATAAGGTACTGCAGCACATAGGAGTAGTAGATAACAATCTTACCTCCAGCTATATGCAGAGAAGCTGATTCTCATGACCCCCACCACAGTGCTGGGCAAAATGAGCACTTACAGCAATGCCACGTAATGGCATCACTTACTTACATATATAATACGCACACTACACGTATAACACATGTGAATGGTTGAAAGATATACGAATGTATCTTAAATTGGAGAAAGGAACGGCATGAGAATGATTGATGACGAGCATGGAAAAAAGCAAAAGGGAAAGTATGAAATTTCACATGAAGGGCACCTAGGCCTTTATGTAATCAAAAAGGTATTTGGTGGCTGCAAACTTGAGAGCTGTTTATCAATTCACTTGGAAGATCAAACTTCTAAAATCAAATCGATATGATTGATAAATAAATAAGCAACCTAGAGGTGACACCTTGTGCTTGTACAGTGGACAAAATTTTAAGGCATGTACAGCAGGAAACGAAGGTGTGCCAGGAGAATAGTGCAACCATTCTGTACCATGTGATAAACATATACCAATAACATTGAGAAGATAATTAGCAAATACAAATATAAGCTCCATAACCATAAGTATAATTTCGTTCACGCTCAACCATGTGATAAGCACAGAATACTCAAATTAAAAGAAATTAATAGAACATGAAAACAACCTAAACTGCAAGGAAAGAAAAAAATAACATTTTCATGAGAAAGATTTACCGATGAATAATGTTGAGTGAAAGCTCGATCAGGAGAGCAGGGATGGAAGTAATGAGAGAGTGGCACAGAGAAATACACACAGGAACTAGATATCGTTCTAGTAGACAAAAGAGGCTCTCAAATCCACAAGAAATATAGGGCCTCTTTCTTTTTTTTGATCGGCGAAAGTTAGTGGTTAGTGGTTAATTGTTAGATTAATACATTGGAGGAGTTGAACTCACACCCTCTCCTTGCATGAACTTACGTCTTGCCTCCCATTCCACTCCTAAGAGTGGAACCCAAGACCTCCCCTTAGGAGAGACTTGGTGATCTCCCCTTAGGGTAACAGACAACAAACAGAATGATAAGGGTAACACACCATACACACAATGATAAGGTTTGAGATGATGCAAGTAACCAATTATTTTAGAGGAAAATTACCTTAACAATATGTGGAAAAATTTCAATTACAAATAACAAGTTATATATCACCTGAAGATAAAAAAACTCATCAAATATAAGCCTTTTGCGAGCTAAATCAGCCTCATCCAAATTCTTCGGCTGGTGGATACCCAAATATGCCTGCATTGTTCACAAAAGGCATTTATGTCTCTCTGCTGCTGAAAAATGCACTGAGAACTAACAGTTTCATAAATACATACATCACATGTGCGCAAGCACCTTGCATGATGAATCTAAGCAGCAAAACCCGAATGCTCTTAATGATTTCTAAACTTTATAGAAATTGGAAGCCAGGTCAGGAGACTCAAGACTACTTTCATGAAGTCCAAGACACTAGTTTATTGTAGACATCAAGGATGTGATAGAATCATCAACTCCCTCCCAAACCCAGCGAAGTAATCAACAGCAATAAACAACATTGAGAAACTCCACCAAACAAGCACCTTATCTCTATGGTAAAGTGGGTTAGCTATAAAACTCATGTATGGCTTGAAGCAGACCCCAAAGGCTTGATTTGAGAGATTAAGCCGCTTATCCAAAAGTAAGGGTATAACCAAAGCCAGGTTGATCATACACTTTATTATCTTATTATGCATATACAGGATCAAGTTATTGTCCATATTGTCTATACTCATGATGAATTAGTGCCAATAAAAAATGAAAAGATTTAAAAAAATTGTGTATTGTTATCTTGTGAAGGAGTTTGATTCTTAATTACTTTCTTAGGTTTGCAGATCATACTATGTTCATCAAATGAGGTAGACAATGATATGGAAGAAGTGTCCCAACTCAAATCACTTTTACCCAAGGAGTTTGAAATTAAAAAATTAGATCCATTGAGGTACTTTCTTGATATTGAAGTTGCCAGATTTTATAAGGGCATTTTTATTTTCCAGAGGAAGTATATCCTTAATCTCCTTTAAAAAACAGGCATTAGTTTTCACAAACAAAATGCACAGGAAACAAAAAAACAAAAAAAAAACAAAGAATATGTCTAATCATTAGAAGATTAGAGCATTCTTTTGGATAATTCAGTTCAATGGAAATAACATTTCATTTTAAATGGTAAGTACGAAACTATGTGCGTAATTGAACAATGCAGCTAATGGTAATTAGGAACAAAAATGGACAATTCTGAATAACAATGAACAGCATATGTATAGATCAAGGAAACCTTAAGCATACGATGCTTTATTACTCACATCATGTAGGGATACAAGTCCAAAATCCCGAGTGACATCTTGAGGAATAGGATCCACATTATCGGGCAAGGATTTTAAAGCACTGAGAGACAAAAAATAATTATAAATAAGTGAAATAGTTAAGAAATGCACAAAAACACTTTACCAAATCAATATACATAAACATTCAAACCAACTCCAAGGAGATAATTCCAACTCCCACATACCACTAAAAAGGTAGCACAAAGTACTTAAATCTACATTTTTACAAGGACATGGAGACATGCCAACACAGAAGATCCTGAAGGTGAAAAAAATGGTGGAAATGAATGGGAGTGGACCCTGAAAATTCTTTCTTGAAGGATCTGAGGCAAAAGTTATATTCCTCTATAGCAAGCCTAGCATAGACAATAGAACAACTGAGCCCGATTAATAGTCATAACAAGCTCTTCAATAACCATTATTCATTTCCTATAAACCTATGCCTTGGACACATGGTCCTACACAAACCTAACCCTAGCCAGCCAACTAATCCAAACTAAAGCCTAACTCAATTCCCTCGCCATCCGTAAATTCCGGCGAGCAATTACTTTTAGCCTAAAAGGAATTAAACAATTACTTTATCCATAAACCTTACCCTATCAAACTTAAACCCTCAAATTAAATCCCTAACTTAAAACCCAAAGATTAAAGCCCTTGCCCACCATATTTGATCTTCTGTGTGCCTTAATCAGGTCCATCCTTCATCAGGGCAATGAGGTCATAGAATTGAATATAACTGTTTCCATTCTTATATATACGTGTGTGTGTGTGTGTGTGTGTAACGAAATGAATGTGTTTTTTAGTATATAAATCAAATATATATTTTTTATGTCACCCTCTTGTTTCACCTAACAACGACTCATACTCTTATAGTGCACCCTCCTTTTATGTCATTCCTGAAAATAACCAAAATTTTCATAATTTCTTTCAAAACCAATCGCATATTTTCTTTCGAAACCAATATAATATAATTTTTCTATCTTAACATTTACACACTTCTTCAATAGGCAGTGAGACAAGACATGGTGTCAAATAAAGTTAAAGGAAAAACCAATTCATGGGGATGAACCAAAATCATGAACCCAGCTTTGTCCAAACTCCAAACCCAAATCATGGATTCAGCTTTGATTATTTGAGTAACATCTCCCAGTTCCTTCACATTATCTCCCAATTGTCAAAGCCAAGGTTGACCATCTATGTACTGTATACACAACAAATAAGGTTTTCAAAACTCAAATAGATGTATAGGCCAATCCACACAAATCTTAGCACATCAAAGCCTTACCAGACACAACCATGACTCTATGTCAATGCTTCTATGCTAAGTAGTTAAATATCTAGCGCTAATGTACTCAACATAGACCAACATCATAGATGAAATGACAGATTTAACACTGATTTACAAACTCAACATATACACATACATGCAGACAAAAAAAAGATTTTTTTCAAATAATTCTACTATATATTGCAGACGTATGCGACAAATAAAGCTGGAAACATAACATAAACAGCCAATCTTGGTATTTTTAAGATAAAATGGATATGTTCCAATGTCAAGTTGGGATCTGATAACCCAATAAAAGAACTACTAAGATAATTAATAAAACAAACTTAAATGTGATGACCAAAAGAGTCGTTACTACCTTTGCATACTTCTTATGTCATTATTGTGTACATGTATTTTCCAGACATAACCCCAAAAAAAATTTAAGAATTGCAGAACTCTACAAAATTGGGAGGGGAAGTAACAGAGACAAGTGATATTCACCAAAATATACATATATACATGTAGAGAGAGAGAGAGAGACAGAGAGAAGTGATGGTAATAACAAGTGAAAGTATTTTACTTCCTAATGATTATTGCCATTAAAAACCTAAACCCAAAATTTGACAAAATATGGAACTATATGAAGCCCCCAAAAAAAAATCGTGGCCACAACATGTCACCTGGACATGGGCACGAGTTGGGCATGACATGACATGGGTATGGATATAAGTTGTGTTTCTCATTTAACAAAGAGTACCATACAACTACCACCTGGTGTGTTCAATCTTTACATTGATATTTCAAACTAAGGTACAAAACACCATTTCACCCTAGATCAAAAGAAAGAAATACTGAGAATAGAAATTGTCTTGTCTTCAATGAATCCATCACCGATTTACATATATAAATATATATCCATGCCCAACATAGGTCCCAACTTTATGGAAAAATGATACAGGTCAAAGGAAACCTAAAGTTGAACAAGGATTCACTAATGTTGTTTAACATTCAACATAAAATCAATGCTGTCTCAACCAGATGTTTTGTTCTCTCATACTAAGTCACTTCATTAAAGCATATCCCATGCACAATTATAATTTAGGGTTGGTTTGGCATGAACTATATAATCCTTCTTTTTATCTTTTTATCTTTTTTCCATCACATCACTTCTCTACTTTTCTGCACATCTTTTCGTAAAAAAACAAAAAGTGCATTTTTTTAGGACACCCCATTGTTTTCAAACCACTTCTAACCATTGTTTTCAAATCCTTATCAAATTGTGAATCATTCTGCTAAAATAGTGAGTCGTGAATCATACCAAATCATGAATTGTAAGATTTTCTTTATTTAACATAATATATTTTTTATATATGTATATACATATAAAATACGCACATAGTGTTTAAAATAAAATAAATATCAATATAACTAATATTAGGGGTGTTTGGGAAGAAACCTTTTTGGTTTTTTTGGCTAAAATAGCACTACAAGACAAAATAAGCTAAAATAACCAATAAGACAAAATATCAGTCTCAACCAGATGTTTTGTTCTCTCATACTAAGTCACTTCATTAAAGCATATCCCGTGCACAATTATAATTTAGGGTTGGTTTGGCATGAACTATATAATCTATCTTTTTATCTTTTTATCTTTTTTCCATCACATCACCTCTCTACTTTTCTGCACATCTTTTCGTAAAAAGACAAAAAGTGCACTTTTTTAGGACACCCCATTGTTTTCAAACCACTTCTAACCATTGTTTTCAAATCCTTATCAAATTGTGAATCATTCTGCTAAAATAGTGAGTCGTGAATCATACCAAATCATGAATTGTAAGAATCATTCTGCTAAAATAGTGAGTCGTGAATCATACCAAATCATGAATTGTAAGATTTTCTTTATTTAACATAATATATTTTTTATATATGTATATACATATAAAATACGCACATAGTGTTTAAAATAAAATAAATATCAATATAACTAATATTAGGGGTGTTTGGGAAGAAACCTTTTTGGTTTTTTTGGCTAAAATAGCACAAGACAAAATAAGCTAAAATAGCCAATAAGACAAAATATCACATTAAACCCATAATCATTTTACTTTTTCTCTCACAAACATCACATCCAACTACAAAAAAATCCAACAATCTTCCCAAACACAAAAATTTTAGCCTCCTAAAATAGCCAAAAACTAAAATAGCTTACTAAAATAGCAACTTCCCAAGCACCCACATTGTATATATATAATCACATTTATCAATATAACTAATTGATCCTTTTTCTTATTTCTTGATGGAGAGGCAAAAACAACGTCATTTCATGCATTATGTAAACGAAAACTAAACTAAATTGTTGTAAATCATAATGAATCATAGTGAATCGCAAATTGAATCGCATGATTCACTCAATTTTTGATTCAACATTACGATTCAATTTTGAATCGTGCTTGAAACTCGTATCAAATCATATGAATCGAATTATTAATCATACAATTCTAACAACCATGCTTCTAATATTTGAGAGCCCAAAACTCAAAGATAAACACAAGTATCCACGCTCTTTAAAGGCAAAAGAATATCTTATTCTTAGCATGCGACAAATATTTAGATAACAAGAGAAGAAGATAGTTCTAGGACATTTCTTTTTTTGAAAAATAAAAACTAGAAGGGGGGAACAAAGAAGGGTGTTTGAATCATAAACAATTAATTCCCATCAAACAAGAAACCAACAGGGAGCAACAACTAGCATAAAGGGTGCAGCTCGATTGTCAAATAGGTTTTTTCACAAAGGGAGAAAGGGTAGAGTCAAAAGCAATAGATGATAAAGCTAGTGCACATGTAATAACAATATTGCACATTGCAAGATCTAGATTGCAGGCTTTGAGGCACAAACCTTGAAATAATGTCCCTAAGAAAGTTTGGCTTAAGGCCTCCTTTAGAAGGGTATATAGGGTATGGTCTCCCCTCTGCATGAGCTGATGAATCCTGTTCATCTTCAAGTACATCCAAATTATATTCCCTCATTTCATAGTGGCCTTTCGTACGCATAATCCTCACCTAGATTGGAAAGGCAACATTTAGGTACAAGTTTTGTATAAATGGCGTGCACATGCGCGTGCGCACGCGTGACAGAGAGAGAGACAGAGAGAGAGAGACATTTTATTAATCAATCAATATATAAAATAAAAAATATATTAGCATAAGGTCATAGGCAGAAACACTAAGAAAGTTTGGCTTAAGGCCTCCTTTAGAAGGGTATATAGGGTATGGTCTCCCCTCTGCATGAGCTGATGAATCTTGTTCATCTTCAAGTACATCCAAATTATATTCCCTCATTTCATAGTGGCCTTTCGTACGCATAATCCTCACCTAGATTGAAAAGGCAACATTTAGGTACAAGTTTTGTGTAAATGGCGTGCACATGCGCGTGCGCGCGCGCGTGAGAGAGAGAGAGAGAGAGAGAGAGAGAGACATTTTATTAATCAATCAATATATAAAATAAAAAATATATTAGCATAAGGTCATAGGCAGAAACAGGAACTTTTTCTTCAGGGAACTCAAATATATTGACACAATTGTTACCAGCTGAAAAATTAATGCATTAATTATTTCCCCACCAAAGCTTCAAAAAATTTGTATCAACCAGAAGTAATATGAAAATTTGAAGCATTTATGCATTAAAAAAAGTTCAATATAACATAATTATTAAGAAAAACGAGGCAATGATCAAATTAATGCTTTATGCATTACATATATAGAATATAAACACACACCCACCCACCCACACACACACACACACACACATATAATATTGGAAACAGGCTGGGCTGAAAGCAAAAACTTACATTTTCTGTCTAGGATACGTATATGTATACATTTTCTGTCTAGGATACATATGTGTGTACATTTCTTGTTAGACTTATCCGAGGACTTGGGGCATCCATGACCCCCGCTGCGCCCTTTGTTCCATCACTAATAAGTTGGTACTTGTCTCCATACACAAAGAGAGCTATTTTTGTAACTATTACCGCCGGAACAGAAATGATGCTTAAGCCAGTGTAGTTATATCAAGGAAATAATTCACATGTAAAAATTTAGAGGAAAAAAAACGTCTTTCTCTTAACCTTCGTTCATAATCCCAAGGATAGTATTCTAGATTGCTAATAACAGAAATGTATCCTAGATGCAAGAATTTAATTTCTCTTAACCTTCATTCAGAATCTCAAGGATAGAAAAGTTGATTCACCATCTAATATTTTGGATCTCACTTATACTAATACATGTGTTTATGTGGGAGAACCTTAATTTTAGGTCTCTTTCATTAGTTGTATATTGTCTCTCCCTTCTAATATTTTCACAAAAAGAAAATCAAAAAAAAAAAAAAAAAACCAAAAAAAAAAAAAAAAAAACCAGTATCTATAACCATTTTCATCAACTTCATTGAAAGTTGTAACTGTTTGCACACAAGCTCTCCAAAGCTCATTTCCTAAAGGATTACTTCACAGAGAGACTCAAACAAACAACCATCAAACCTTCAAATACCAAGGTGCTTTTCTCCATCAATGAGCTCAACTTTCAAACAGAACATCAGAGGAGACTTACTCACTGTTGCTTTGGTCAATCAAGACCTGGGAGAGTGGGCTTCGGGAAAGAGAAGAAATAGGATACAAACAATTACAGGCTCAGTAGGGCAACACGGCAGTGCCAAGAACAGACTTAACATCCCAAGCCCCTGCCATTGTGCCAACAAATGAACACCCAAAAAAAAAAATAGCTGCAAAGGTTAAAGCAATACCACTAGACTTGTTGGTTTAGTAGTAGTATAATGTCAGCCCGAGACACCTAAGATGATAGAGGCTGAGGTTTCAAAATACAGAAATAGGATAGAAGGGGTAATGGGTTTACTAGCATTTCACAGAATTCACCCAAATATATATATATATATATATAATAAACTTAGATCAAAAGAAGTAACAAGGAATGAGCAAACTACTTCAACTGAACAAATGCAATATCCATCCACCATTAACTTTCTTACACAAGCAACAACTTTACAAAAACTGAACTCACAAGGTATGTTTGCCTTTGTTGGAGGCAGTAACACACCACTCTTAGATCAAGAACTTGCATAAACAACTAAGATCAGTATGATCAGAAATTAGAACCGCAGTAAATGACTAGAAGTGCTACAAAGCAGCCCAACAACAGAAGTATATAAACACACCTTACCACTAACACATACAATATCCCCCTCTTTATGCTTTCCCTGAATACTTTTGAGAAAAGGTTGAAAAGTGAAACGAGTGCCACGGAAAAATTTCTTTAAATGTAAGTGTATAGTCTGCTTGCTTCTATCAGTTTCATCAATAACATGTGCAGAAGTTGATTCACCACCTCCCACCTCGCATTCAATCACAACCTCTAGAAATGAGAAAGAATAGCTGGTTCTAATTGCCCTGCCAAGAGGGGGGGGGGAAAAATGTCTTATCAAAATTAAAAGAGAAGTTTAACTCACAATTAACATTTTTAATGCTCTATTGCTCAACACTATTAGATAAATAAATAATTTTTTACACACATGCCTGCATCTGGAAAGCGATATAAACAGCAACAAGGAAAACATTGCTACAATTTAAAGAAAATTATAACTGACTCAACTAGAGCAAGCTAGCTGTAGCTAAAGCTGTGATAAATTCTTCCCAACAGAATATGGGTGGTTGGGGGGGGGGGGGGGGGAAGGACTGTAGGACAGTGATCTAGCATGGGATCCAGATTACAACTTTAGCCAGACCAGCTGCCACTAGTCTCTACTGCCTTCCTAAAAGTCATGACAGAAGGAAAAAAATTGAAGCACCAGACTGGAAGATGATAGTATGTCACTCTAGTGTGAAAGAGCCTTTAACACTAAGAGAGCAATTGTAAGGATCCCTGTGTGATACGATCATGGACAGAACTCAGCCCAAAGCTAGCTTCTGAAGTGAGAGTGACCTCAAGCTTATACGCCATGCATCCCTTTTATACCAAAGATGTGGGACTTTGTTTTACACCCTTCCTCATGCCTAACATGCAGGGCACATCCCTGCAGTACACTGCTCGCACTTATAACATGCACATCTTCTTCGTACCCAGGCAATGTGGAACTTTGTTTCACACCTTGAAGAGATGGAGCTTTCATCATTTGTGTTGAAATGTAATTTGGAGAGTGTTAAAATGTTCCAAAACCTACCACCACACCTACTCTACCCACTTCACCTACTCCACCTACTACTCCACCTACTACATACCTACCTCCTTTAATCTTCTATATATAGGACTCATTGTAAACACAACATACAACAATCAATATACATAACGACAACATGGGCGCGCCTTTTGATGGCACGCCTTTTTATGGATTGGGCACGCCTTTTGATGGCACGCCTTTTGATGGATTGGGCACGCCTTTTGATGGCACGCCTTTTTGAAAAATTGGGCGCACCTTTTGAGGGTGCGACTTTTTAAGGGGTCCGACAAGACTCTGTAAACTGTCCCGACATTGATTCCGGTTAGCTCCTTCATGGGTCCGACAAGACTCTGTAAACTGTCCCGACATTGATTCCGGTTAGTTTCTACAAGGGTCCAGCAAGACTCTGTAAACTGTCACAACAACTGTCACAACATTGTCTGCTACAACGGTCCGACATGACCCCGTAAACTGTCTTCTACATCGGTCTGACACCGCCATCCAGTGTCCTCTACAACGTTATGACACCCCCATACAGTGTCCTCTACACCGTTATGACACCACCATACAGTGTCTTCACCAACGGTCTGACACCACCATACAGTGTCCTCTACAACGTTATGACACCACCATACAGTGTCCCTCTACACCGTTATGACACCACCATACAGTGTCTTCACCAACGGTCTGACACGACCATACAGTGTCTCCTATCTTCTTTTATTTTATGTATTCGTCTATTTTCTTGTTTTGTTAGTCTCTCCAAACTCAAGTTGGTTAGTTCCTATCCCCCTTGAGTTTGCGGGGGGCTGTTAAAATGTACCAAAACCTACCACCACACCTACTCTACCCACTTCACCTACTCCACCTACTACTCCACCTACTACATACCTACCTCCTTTAATCTTCTTATTATAGGACTCATTGTAAACACAACATACAACAATCAATAATACATCAATTTTAACAGAGAGAAATTCTTCTCTTCAGGGATCTCTTAGAAGAATTGTTCTTTCGCAGTTTTGTAGTTTCTCTACTTGTATAATTGGTGTTTTTTCTTCTCTACCTGCATCACATGGCCATTCCAATATCCAATGAATCCAATCCTTTGTTTCTTGCATCAAATCTGTTTTATTTGTTCTTTAAAAATAAAATAAAAAAAGACCAGGGCATTGTTTCTCCATCTCTCTATTCCAAATTTCTTTTTTAATCAAGAATAATTTTAAATAATTAAAGTGAGAATGTCTTCTATACATAAGAACAGAGAATCCAATATGAATGGAATATTTCAATGCCCAACCAAAGAACATCTATTGGTCACTTCAGGAAAACCTGATAAAATTGAATCACACAGTGAAGATTAGCACAGGCCCCGTGCAAGGATGACCCACACAAATCAAGAAATGGTCCTTGTACATCCAGGAATCTGGTCAAGAAGATCAATATTTACTAACCAAATACCCAAACTCACTTGGAAGTTAAGATTCTCCCAATAAAAATCAAGTACTGTCCATCGTCAATTCCAATCTGCGCATTCTGTAGATCAGCATAGGTCCGAGGAAAATGGTGCAGCAATTTCCGCAACTAACACACAAAAAGGAAACGTGATCTCAAGCCTCAATTAGATATTAAAAACATTTTAATAATAGGATGTTAGCATAACCTCTAAAAAGAGCCCACCGTGTGAAAGCCACAGTTTTCCAGCAGACGAAACTGCCTCTTACTGAATCCAGGTATGCAACTGATAGATTTGTCGAGAATCAACTCAACTGATGCAGCATTTTGTTTACTCTCAAACCCAGCTCTAGTGGAAGATTCCTCCGTAGTGACATATAGAACTGAATTTGTTTCAGACTCCAAATTCAGGGACTGAGAAGATAAAGGTGAAGCGTAAGAACTTTCTTCCTAAATAAGTTAGAGTTCGCATTTGGAAGGCCAGGATAAAGAGGAGGCCATGCTTCACGTAGATTATCTGGAATGAGCCACTTTGCACCCACAGAACTAGAGAGAAATCCTTTACAAATTTCAGATGTTAAAAGGCTGTTCTCTCCAAACCAACATGAGGTCTCATCATACAGTTCCACCGCGGGAGAAACACCAATATGTGATGGAAATCGTTTACACGCCAAGGAGACATCAAAATCAACCATTGTATCTTTAACATTCATACCAGAATCCTTTTGAGCTCTTTCGCTCTGAATTAAATCATGTAGACTATTGTAACCCATTAAGACAGATACCTATAAGCAAAGCACAATGCAACCATGTAAACAATCTCTCTGAGAAATGAAAACATGCAGAGAAAATATGCAGCTGTCTAAATATGCAGAGAAAATGAACAGCTTACAAGCATAGAAAAGTAAAGAGTCACTATATCAGTAGACCCTTTACTGAGGATATATTCAGACACTTACACAAAAATATAAAAATAGTGAAATAAAAACGGAGAAGATCATAACAAGCATTGATTAGAAGTTTATCATAATAAAGCAGCACGTGATCCCTGGCAAGCCATTCAAGCTCCTGATCAGCCTACATTTGTGTTTTTATCAGCAATAAGAAAATTTATTAATTAAAAAGAGAATGAGGTACGCAAGGACCAAAAATCCCCAAAAAGAGAAAAAACTAAATTACGAGTCACATATTGCCCATCAATCTCTAGAAACCAAAAGTGGTATCCCTTAAGGAGAAGCACTGAAGCCCAAAAGGAAGACAGAGAACAAATATTGAACCACTACCCTCCAATATATTTAACCTTGTTCTCAAGAACTCTTGCATTTCTTTCTAATCAAATCACTACCCTCCAATATATTTAAACTAGTCTCAAAGACTCTGCATTTTTTCTAATCAAATCACCCAAAACATAGCACAAAATACACAACTGTGACAACTCCAAAATCCTCGAGCCTTCTTATTAGATCAAAAGCACCTGTAATCAATCATAAACATCTTAACAAAGAATTAGGAGCCACCCAATCAATCTCACCAACGCAACAATTTGTGCCATAAGGCCATAAGCTACAAGGCAACGCAAGAATAAATTATCAATAGTTTGTTCTCCCCCTCTACACACAACACACCATTGTGGAAGCAAAAGGCAATTAGGCCTCCTTTTCTGAATCATGCCATTAGTATTGAGTTTCTTGTGAGTCATAAACCATGCAAACACTTGTAACTTTAAGAAGCGCAATAGCATTCCAAATCATCTTATGAGGAACCAAAAAAGGCTACATTTAGATTATCAACAATCTTATCAAAGAAAGATTTGCAAGAAAATAAATCAGATGAATGAATAGTCTACACTCTTTTATAATTGGAGCCATGATTCAAGGAAACATCATCATGGATAGATAATACAGAAGCCAGCTCATTAGTTTGAAATCATCAAGATTCCTAAAAAACAACTCAATCCAGCACCGAATCCAATCCTAATCTGTACACTTCTACATGTACATAAAATTTGTGTTTAAAAAAAGTTGTATAAAGGATATTCCAAAGCTTGGAAAAAGCATTAACATAAAATATGAGGCTAAGGGTAAAAGTACTATAATCAATTTTGATATATTAAAAAAGTCACAATTAGATTAGCTTCTTTGCAAAGATAAAGGGGTGTGTTTGGTTTGGTTTTGGGAGATAAATTTTCAAAAAAAATTTGGGGAAAGAGTTTAGAAATTTTTTTGGTTTGTTTGGTTGTATATTTTGGAAATAGATTTGGGTATGGGAGTTTTGGAAAAATTTGATGAGTAGATGTATGTGAGAGGAAAAATGATTGAGAAGGAGAGAGAAGAGAGAAAAAGTGATTGATTGATGTGTAGGAGAGAGAAAGTGATTTTGGAAAAAAAAATTCCAAATCACCAAACCAAAACAAAATTTTAGAAAATTTCTCCAAAATTTGTTTCTCAAAAAAAAAACCAAACAAGTCCAAAATCTTTAATTGCAAATTATAAGACAACAAATTTAGGTAGAAAGGGCATAGAAGGTACATATGCAAATCACATAGCCTTGGCTGATTTAAAATGAATGCAATCTAAATAATGCCAAGCTACATATATACTGCAACATAAACACTAGCTTGCAACCTTATTAAGCAACTTTGAACGGTCTGTGACACTTGCGCTCATACCTTTCCACTTCCTCCAACAGCCTTTCTGCAATTTATGCTTTGATTGAGAGCATAATTTTGAAACCTAGAGAACAGAAAATTTTTAAACCTGTAACAAATCATGAACATTCAGTATAGCACTTCCCTCTCACTCCCATCTTTGTTTAAATAATTTGATAAAAAACCACCAACAATACCTCATTTATTACAGAGAACATTCATATATCCTTTTTCTCTGCTTCAAATGTTATCACATTCTCAAGCATTTCTCACCAAAACACTAAGAAAAAGGAGAAATGATTTCAGCTACCATCAAGTTCAGGTGGAAAAATGGAAAAGCACAGTTAAACATTAAATGGGTGGACCCTGATATTTCAAAATGAGATCTATAATGATTTAGGTACGTAACGTACAAATCATGCAATTGAAATTATCCGGGACTATAGATATGATATACCATAATATAACTAACAGCATTAAGATAACATCAATCAAAGACTAGGTTACAAAAGATAGTATGGACATGTGTAAAGAAGCACAAGTTTATATAAGCTACAGCAATAGAAACACCAAAAAACAAGGATAAAAATAAGTAAAAAAGATACATCCATTCTATGCAATACAAAAAGAATATAATATGCTGTAATGGTGAAGCAGGACTCATAATTCCCACACCAAATATTTGAGACAATAAACAATGGACAAACATTATTTGCACCTTTGTCAATCCAAATATTAGTCGAAGTAAATCAATAGACTAAGGAGTTATTTGACAAAATTATAATTAGCTACTAAAAAATTTAGTACCAAAATAGTACAGGTGAAATATTTAACGAATTTAAAGTTACAAAATAAATTTGTTAATCTACAAAGTGTAGACAGCATTTGGTGACAAGTCAAATCTCTTTAACTTGTAAGTAAGACCCTTTGGAAGAGAATTTTTAAACCCAAATGGTAAATGATAGCATTATTAATGCACTCAATCGTCCAGCTATTGAGTAATTTCCTTGTCAAAACCTCTAAACATGTTCAATCCACATTATAATGAAAAATCGGGCCCAAAGTAAGTAGAAAGAGGGTGAATTTTAATTTGCACTACTATTGTTATTGTTATTGTTATTGTTATTTTGTTGTTTATTATGCAAGGATTTTTGTGGTTCACTCTGAAATGGGATAAATTCTCATGAATGTATTCAATTCCTTAAAAATCATGTCTAACTAAGCTCAAAACAGTCAATTTTGAACTGCTATTTTCTTGATTGAGCAATCACAACGCTACAAAGAGAACCTAAACATCTTGTTGCATAAATATCAGATTGGGAACATATGTATAAGGATATAAGCATCAATCCTTAATCAAATTCAGCAATCCAATGGCCAAAAATGTCCATAAAACTAGGACAGTTTAAAAAATTGGGTAGAAAAGATGGCTTGGATACCCCTATCATCAACCTTGAAAAATGACCATTACACTCTCCATTAAGAAACAACCAGCATAAGGAACAAAAAGCTAAAAAAAAGATGAGTGTAGATTTCATTTATACCGTGCCACACACGATTGAACAACAGAGACTGCTAGTGCCATGTGCTATGATGTTATTGTAGGAAAGGGCAACGCCTAAATAAACAAAGACATCAAACCTGCAAAATCACATTTTACGATCATCTGCAAGGTCAAGTAAAAATATACCATAAAGAACTTAAACAATATCCAAAATTATGAGTTGTCAGTGTACTATGAATGCAAAATGATTGAGAATCTATTAGACTGTTTTAGCACACAAAGATCAAGAAAACAGATATTACTTATATAAACCTATGCCACCCACTAAATAAAAACTTAGAATTTAGTGTCAAATCTTCAGAAAATTTTAAATTTGTTGACATGTTCAGCTCCCATCAACTCTTTTTGAAAAAGATACCTACAAGATGCCTTAACTATTTGAAAATTTGTCTAAAAAAAATAATAATAAAATATCATCAATTGCTTCATCGAATCTCATAACAAATGCATCCATGCCACTGTTTTACAGTACAATGACTGCTTCATATGGTCATAATCAGTCTGATTTTAAATCCAAACTACGCTGAAGACGACTGTAAGTGCAACAGACTACTGCTGTTGGTGCTTTGATAATCAGAAAATAAATCCTGAGAGGCTGAACAAATAAGCCACTCATAGAACTCTCTCAGATCCAAGGGCATTTCCAAAAACGTGTCCCAACTCCATCCCTCACAGTATGTAGCTAAGCAAACCTCCTTTGTGATGTCATGGCAAATATTTGTAACTTATAAGAGGAAATCAAAAATTTGAACAATTCATTTTAATTTGACAATTATAAGTTACACTACAAATTTGTTTCAATGTAAATATTTTACTTCTGAATATATTTTTTTCAAGAAAATCTTTCCACAGGAAAATTTCAGTGTTTGGCTGAAGCTGAAAACATTTTCCAGAAACAGCTATTTGACATGCAAATACTTTTTTTTTAAATCCTTTCTCTTCTTTTTTTATGTAGGTAAATTTTTTAATTTTCACTTCAATTATCTGAGAACAATAAAATTAAATACTTTACAAAGCATATAAACAAGGATGGCATTGCTCCACTACTCAACATACAAGGTTGACCTAAGTATTGGATTTGGTTGAAGGTTCATCTATCCAGCAAGTTTATTTTACCAAGTTATCATAAACACATACTATATTGGTGCATTTATGCATTGAATTTACTTCACTTAGCACGGAAACGTTACTTTTGTAGCATTGTACAGCACTAAACACTAATACAAATAATAAAGATAGTTTAAATTGAATTGTGGTAATTTGGTTCATCATGTCTCTTGTGGAACTTAAGCATCTAATCAGCACCAAAATCCGCTGATTGGAAGCAACTAAACACACTAGATGAAAGAACTCGAACCCAATTTAGGTTATGTAGGTATTAGGTATGAGAGGTGGTCAGTTATGACAGACGTTTGAAGATATGCAACGGCCAAAGATCGCTGGAGGCAGCAGAGGAGAAGACGAAGGTAGCCTTAGAGATGGAGAGGGTGATAGTGAGAAACATAAAACATGAAACAACTGAT